AGTTCGATGCTCATCAATCAGGATGTGTGCTCGTCTCCCTTCACTTTCCTCAAATGGTGACACCCGATCGTGATACTGCGACGCACCACAGAGGAGTGAAGACACGGGTCGGGTTCTGAGAAGCAGCTGGGACGGCAGATAAACGCGGAGAAAAAAGGAGAAAAAAAAAAAGAAGCTGAGACGCGCTGTGCCTCAGGTGTCGTATAGACGAGCCCGGCCGATACGTGCTGCTGCGACCTTGAAGAGCTGCAACAGCGCTGACGATTTAGGTATCGAAAGGCAAGCAGCATATGATTTATTTACTGCCTTTTTACAAAAACGGCAGGTTAGGGGAATAGATTTACAAAAGGATTTACCAGGGCTTATGGCTATGCTAAGGGAGTTTTTATTAACCCCCATACTGCTCACGAGTTAACGGAGTGGCGTAAATTTGGTGATTTATTGTGGGAGGCTACTTTAGAGGATGATAAAACTGCCAAGAAGTTAGGTAAATTATGGAGGGTGGTTCACAATGAGATGTTAAAGCATCAGGCTGAGAAAAAAGCAGCCGAGCAGGCAACAGCTGCACATGGCCGTAATAAAGATTATGATCAGGAAATGGGTATTCCCCTCGCCCCTGTAGTGAGGACGGTTTTCTTGCCTGCTTCGCCGTCCTCCTCTGCTTCAGCAGGACTGGGTATAGAGCGCGCCTCTGAGGCTTCCGCACCCCCTGAAGAACAGGAGCAGTGGCCAAGACCACCCGATAAGCTCCCGCAAATCAATGAGCCGATCCCTGGGGCGGAAAATGACCTAGCGGAGGGTATTGCGAGGGAGAAACGGGAGGCGTGGGCTGCGCTTGCAAGAGAAGGCATGGAAAAGGGGGATGAGGAGGTTATCAGCACTGCTACCCAGCTGGCTTGTCCTGTTGTATTCAATCCGCAGGAGGGAGGGGGCATGCAGGCTACCATTACAGCCCTTGATTGGAAATTGCTGTCTCAGCTGAGGTCTACTGTTAATCAATTTGGAGGGAAAAGTGAGCCAGCCAAACAAATGTTAGACTATATTTTTGATACCAGTCTTCTCTTGGTAAATGATTGTCGGGGAATAGCTAAATTGATATTCATTCAACATCAGCAGTTGTTATTCAATGCTCATTGGCAAGAGCTTGTAAATGAATGCGTAGTGGTACAGCAACAGCAGGGAGATCCTCTCCATGGTATAACTGTGAACAAGCTTATGGGCTTGGGACCTTTTCTTCGTACCGAAGCACAAGCTTTGCTGGGGCAAGATAAGTGCTGGGAAGCTATGTGGTTGGTCAGGCTTGCTATAGAGAGGGTAAAAGAGCCAGGAGGGGTACCCGTGTATATGGGAATTAGGCAAGGGCCAGAAGAATCATTCGGGTCATTTATTGATAAGGCTGCTGCTGCAATCGAAAGGGCTGGAGTACCAGAATATCTTAGGGGGGCATTACTCAAGGAGTGCGCTCTCCAAAACTGCAATTCTACTACTAGGAGAGTGCTTAATACTCTGGATGCCAATTGGACTATAGAGGAGGCATTAGAGAGGATGGCTTTGGTGCCAACAGGAGCAGAAGCCTTTGTAGTAGATGCAATCAAACAATTAGGGCTAAGCTTACAAGAACAGGCAAAGACCTCTCAGAATCAGGTGTTAGCTGCTCTTGCACCTCTTCAAACGTCAACAGCACTGCCTCCAACGCCTAGTTGGTGCCAGAACCGCAGTGACCACGCACCAACAGAAGTCGTCGCTGCAGCATCAGCACCCTCTCCTGTCTCCAACCCGACACCACAGGGAGCTTCAGCTTGGAACCAGAAGCCGCCGTAGAAGCTATGCTGATGGCCCCGCACCCACAGAAAATTCCGACAGGGATTCAGGGATTCATGGACCGATTGTTACAGAGTCAAGCTGGGTGCTTTGTTTTTTGGAAGATCATCTGTGTTTGTAGGGATTATTTGTTTTGCTTGGCGTCATTGGTGTGGACTATATGTTATGGTGCATACTCTTTTCCCACCACTCTAAATTAACAAAGGACTGAGAATTGCTCAGCTGGTGCCACTTTAGCCAAATGACTAAGGGATTACAGACTATAAAAGGACAAGAGAGGGGGAAAAATGGTTTTGAATCCACCGGAGGACTTACCTTACTGACTTTGAACCTTTCTGAGAGACCCAAGAAAAGGGTGGAAGTGGAATTTCAAGGACAGAAAGGATCATTTTCAGGCTTGTTGGACACTGGGGTCGATTCCAGCATTATTAGCCCTAGCCTTTCGCCTCCTCTCCGGGTTCGCATGAATGAAAACAGCTAACAGCCTTCTTTTCTTAGTCCAATTACCACCTACCGTGCAATGCCTGATAAGGCAGGACATTATGGCTCAGTTGGGGGTGGTTTTAACCCTTTGGGGTAAAAGCCATTGCTTGGACCATGGCTGGGGAACCTTGTGACATTTGCTATAGGGATACTAGGTGTGCTTTTAATGCTTTTGCTTATTTTGCCTTGTATTTTTAATTGTATTCAAGATATGATCAGTAGAATGATAGAAAAAACCTTGCAGACTAACCTCCTTGTGCAAAAAGAAAAACGGGGAATATGTTGGAGAATTTTGCTCAGACATGGCTTATAGAAAGGCCATGAGCACATACAGCTGGTTAAAAAGTAAAAGGCAGCTGTAAGCAGCAAGTTCTCAGGCTTTTTCCTTAACAACAATAAACACCATGTCCTTGAGTAAAGTGATGAGAAAAACATGGTGGAACACATGGAGTCCTCAAAAGGGTGCTCAATAACAAGTCAACAACAGGATGAGAAAAACAAGTATTAGCCTCAACAAGAAACCACAGGTATTGAAAACAAAGGAGGGGTTGGTGTGTAATCTGTAACCACTGATGAGCTTGGGTTTTGCAATACGTATGAGCTTAATTAACACTACTATAAAAGTGTGTAAGCTGGATCAATAAATCAGAGATCGATGCTCATCAATCAGGATGTGTGCTCGTCTCCCTTCACTTTCCTCAGCTCTGTACTGGCAGGGACTGGGACAGAGCGGCTTTGTACTGGGATATACTGGGAGGGACTGGGGGGAGTCACTGGGATGGACTGGGATTAACTGGGACAAACTGGGACCGACTGGGATGTACTGGGAGCACTGGGATCAACTGGGAGCACTGGCATGAACTGGGATGCAGTGGGAGCACTGGGATGAACTGGGATGGACTGCAATGGAACTGGGATTGAACTGGGAGCACTGAGATGGACAGGGATTGAACTGGGATGGACAGGGTTTGAACTGGGATGCACTGGGAGCCCCGGGGCGCCCCCTGCTGGTGTCCCCTGACGTGGATGGGGCGGGGCCACCCTGGGGACACCTCAGGGACACCTTGGGGCACTTTGGGGACACTTTGGGGTGACCCTGGGGCCACCTTGGGGACACCTCAGGAACTCCTGGGGTCATTTCAGGGACACCTCGGGGACACCCTGAGAGCACCCTGGGGACATCTGGGAGTGACCCTGGGGACACCTTGGGGACATCATGGCGGCCATCGTGGGGTCACTTTGGTACCCCCCTGGGAACACTTTGGGGACATCCTGGGGACACCCTGAGAGCAGCTTGGGGACACCTTGGGGACATCCTGGGGACACTTTGGGGACACCTTGGAGACACCTTGGAGACACCTTGGGGACACCTTGGGGACATCTTGGGGACATCTCGGGGTGACCCTGGGGACATCCCTGAGACACCTCAGGGACACTTTGGGGACATCCTGGGGACATTGTGGGGTCACTTTGGGGAGACTTGAGGGACACCTTGGGGACATTTTGAGGACACCCTGAGAGCACTTTGGGGACATTTTAGGAACCCCCAGCTCAGGAACACCTTGGGGACACTTTGGGGACACCCTGGGGTCATTTCAGGAACACTTTAGGGACATCCTGGGGACACCCAGAGAGCACTTTGGGGACACTTTGGAGCCACTTCAGGGACACCCTGGGGACATCCCTGAGACACCTTGGGGATACCTCAGGAACCCCCGGGGTCATTTCAGGGACACTTTGGGGACATTGTGGGGACGTTCTGGGAACCCCAGACCCTGGGGTCACTTTGGGAGCTGTCGTGGGGCACCAAGGGGACACATCAGGAGGCCCCTGGGGACATTTTGGGGACACCCTAAGGCCACCTTGGTGACACTTTTGGGGACACTTCAAAGCCACCACTCTGGGGACACTTTGGGGACACCTTGAGGAGACCTTGGGGACGTTCTGAGACCCCCAGGGGGACACTGTCAGAACCCCCCTGGGGACACTTTGGGGACACCTCAGGATGCCCCGTGGGGACCCCTGGGGGACACCTTGGGGACACTTCAGGGTCACCATCATGGGGACACCCTGAGAGCACTTTGGGGACACCCTGAGGACACCTTGGGGACACTTTGGGGACATTTGAGGGAGATATGGGAGTGAGCCTGGGGACACTTTGGGGACATCTCAGGGACCATCGCAGGGGCACTTTAGGACCCGCAGGGGACACCTTGGGGACACTTTGGGACACCTTGGGGACAGTTTAGGGGGACATCTTGGGGACACCTTGAGGACACTTTAGGGGGACATCTCGAAGCCACCCTGGGGACACCTTGGGGACATCTCAGGGTCACTTCAGGGACACTTTGGGAACACCTGAAGAACTCTTGGGGACACTTTGGGGACATCTCAGTGGCCATCGCAGGGACACCTTGGGGACACCTGAAGGACACTGTGGGGACACCCTGAGAGCACTTTGGGGACATCTTGGGGACATTTTGGGAACCTCATTGGAGCATCATGGAGACACCTTGGGGATACCTCAGGACCCCCCCAGGGACCCTTTGTGGCCATTTGGGGGCATTTTGGGGCCATCTGGGGACACTTGGGGACATTCTGGGGCCATTTGGGGCCATTTTGGGGCAATTTTTGGGCCATTTGGGACATTCTGGGGCCATTTGGGGACATTTTAGGTCCCCCCAATGAGCACAGACTCAGGCCATGCCCCTTTCCCCACACCATTTTATTCCCAACCAATCAGAACCTCCAGAGTGCTTCAGATGGGCGGAGCCTCCTCCGCTCACTCCTCCCCCTTCCCAACGGTGGGTGGGGCCTCCTCGGGGGTGGGTGGGGCCTCCTCGGGGGTGGGCGTGGCCTGCAAGGCGTGGGCGGCGTCTCTCCAGCGCTGCAGCCAATGGGAGAAGGGGGCGCAGCCAGGGGGCGTGGCCAGGACCCACTGAGCCGGCTGGGCCCACCTGGGGAGAGGGGTGGGGTTAGGAAAAGGGGGTGGGGCTTGGGGTGGGAGGAGCTACACTCCCATTCCAGGCCTCTCTCCCTCCAGGCCCCGCCCCCTCCCTCACCATTGGCTGACGAGCTCCTGGAGGCGGGGCCAGTCCCTGATTCGCTGCTCGCAGCCTTCTCTGACCAATCGCAGCCGGGGCAGCAGCTCGGCCACATCCACGGTGAGGGGGGGTGGGGCCAGCGGCTCTGTCTCCGCCCCCAGGACAGGCCCCGCCCCCCGGCGCAGGCGCAGCGCCCCCTGGCGGAGCTGCTGACGCAAGATGGCCGCCTGGGACAGCAGCGAGCCCTGACGGACACAAGGGGATGGGGGCGGGCTTGGCCACGCCCCCCAAACCCTGCAGGACACGCCCACAATTGGCGGCACCCTCCCCCACCTTTTCAGCCCCATTTAAGCCCCACCCCAAATCCCTCCCACTCTCTCCAAGCCCCTCCCCCACTCTTTAAGCTCCTCCTCTTTCCCTCCAGCCCCTCCCCCACATTTCAAGCTCCTCCCCCAATCCTGCTCCCAAGCCCCTCCCCCTAAATTTAAGTCCCTCCCCATCTTTTGGCTCCTCCCCCATTCCCCTCCCCCATCCCTTAGCTCTCTAAACCCCTCCCTCCTCGAGGCCCCTCCCCCACTCAAGCCCCTCCCCCACCCTTTCAGCCCCTCCCCTCCCCATCTTTAAGCCCCTCCCTCTCTTTAGATGCCATCTGTTTTAGGCCCTCCCCCTTTGAGCCCCTCCCCACTCTTAAATCTCCTCCCTCCCCCTCAAGCCCCTCCCCCTCTTTAAGTCCCACCCCTCAAGCCTTTGCCCCACCCTTTAAGCCCCTCCCACTTTAAGACCCTCCCCCACTTTATCCAATCCCCTGGTTTAAGCCCCTCCCCCATTTAAGCCCTCTGGGTTAGGCCCCTCTTCCTGGTATAGGCCTCTCCCCCTGGTATAGGCCCCTCCCTCATTTAAGCTCCTCCTATCCCTCTTTAAGCCCTGCCCCACCCCCTTAGCCCCTCCCCCACCTGTGCCACGCCCATCTCCCGTGCCAGCCCCCGCAGAGGGGGTGTGGCCTGTGCCGGGGGGCGGGGCTCCTCTCCCAGTGCTCCCAGTGCTCCCAGTGCCAGCTGCCGGCGCCGCAGCCACGCCCCCTCCAGAGGGGGAAGGGCCAAGCCCGGCCCCGCCTGCACCACGCCCACAACCTGCGGCCAATCAGAGACGTCGGGAACTGGGATCAAACTGGGAGGGACTGGTAGGGACTGGGGGGAACTGGGTTATACTGGGAGGGGACTGGAGGGAATTGCGAGGTACTGGTTTATACTGGGATGGACTGGGAGGGAACTGGGTTATACTGGGAGGGCACTGGGATCAAACTGGGAGTTACTGGGATCTCAGCTGGAGTCAAACTGGGAGCACTGGGAGGAAGTGGGAGTTACTGGGAGCACTGGGATCAGAGCTGGAGTCAAACTGGGAGTGACTGGGAGGGGACTGGGTTGTACTGGGAGGGACTGGGGGATACTGGGTTATACTGGGAGGGGACTGGGATGGAACTGGGGGGAACTGGGAAGGACTGGGAGGGAACTGGGAGGGAAGTGCCGGATACTGGGATGGACTGGGTTATACTGGGATATACTGGGATGGAACTGGGAGGGTGCTGGGAGGGACTGGGTTATACTGGGAGGGACTGGGATCAAACTGGGAGTTACTGGGAGCACAGTTGGAGTCAAACTGGGAGCACTGGGAGGGACTGGGGGATACTGGGATCTCAACTGGATTCACACTGGGAGCATTGGGATGAACCGGGATGGACTGGGAGGGAACTGGGAGTTACTGGGAGCACTGGGAGGGACTGGGAGGGAAATGAGGGATACTGGGATATACTGGGAGGGAACTGGGATCGTACTGGGAGTTACTGGGAGCACTGGGATCGGAGCTGGACTCAAACTGGGAGCACTGGGAGGGACTGGGATGGAACTGGGGGACACTGGTTTATACTGGGAGGGACTGGGATGGACTGGGAGGGAACTGTGATGTACTGGGATGGACTGGGGAGGAACTGGGGGATACTGGGATGGACTGGGGTTACTGTGAACACTGGGAGGGCACTGGGATCAAACTGGGAGTTACTGGGATCTCAGCTGGAGTCAAACTGGGAGCACTGGGATGAACTGGGATGGACTGGGAGGAACTGGGAGGGACTGGGAGCACTGGGATCAGAGCTGGAGTCAAACTGAGATGAACTGGGACAGACTGGGAGGGGACTGGGTTATACTGGGAGGGACTGGGAGCATTGAGATCACAGCTAGTGTCAAACTGGGATGAACTGGGAGGGACAGGGAAGGAACTGGGATAAACTGGGATGGACTGAAGGATACTGGGATATACTGGGAGGGGACTGGGGGCCTTAGTGGTCCATACTGGTCCATACTGGTCCATACTGGTCCATACTGGTTTGCTCCCCACCTGCTCCTGCAGCGGTTTCAGCGCCGCTCGGCGCCCCCTGGTGGCGGCGCTCAGGAACCGCAGGCGCTGCTGCAAATGGAGCTGGGGAGGGAAACGGCAAAAATCAACAGAATTCACCCCAAATTCACCCAAAATAACCCAAAAATCAACCAAATTAACCCAAAATTCCCCCGAAACCATCCAAATGTACCCAAAAATCAACAGAATTCACACAAAAATAAACCCAAAATTCACCCAAAATGAACCTAAAATACACCAAAATGAAACCAAAGTTAACCCAAAATGAATCCAAAATCACCTAAATTACCCAAAAATCATCAGAATTCACCCAAAATTCATCCAAAATCCCCCAAAACCATCCAAATTAACACAAAAATCAACAAAATTCACCCAAAATTAACAGAAAATGCACAAAAATTCACCCCAAAATCCCCCCGAAATCACCCAAATTAACAAAAAAATCCCCCTGAAATCACCCAAATTAACCCAAAAATAACCAAAATTCATCCAAAATCCCCCTGAAATCACCCAAATTAACCCAAAAAGCACCAAAATTTGCCTAAAATTCACCCAAAATTCACCAAAATTAACCCTGAAATCCCCCCAAATTAACCCAAAAATCACCAAAATTTACCCAAAAATACCCCCGAAATCATCCAGATTAACACAAAAAATCACCAAACATCACCCCAAAATCAGCCAAATTAACCCCAAAATCAGTTAAATTAACCCAAAAATCTACCCAAAATTACTGAAATTAACCCAAAAATCACCGAGATTAACCCAAAAATTCCCCAAAATCACAGAAATTAACCCAGAATCACCCAAATATCCCCCTGAAATCACCTAAATTTACCTCAAAATCACCATAATTCACCCAAAAATCCCCCCAAAACCACCCAAATTACCCTAAAATCAACAACATTAACCCAAAAATCTCTCCAGATCACCCAAATTAACCCCAGAATAACCAATATTAACTCAAAACCCCCCCTGAGATCACCCAAATTAACCCAAAATACACTAAAATTAACCCAAAAATCCCACAGATCACCCCACAATCACCCAAATTAACCCCAAATCACCAAAATTTACCTAAAAATACCCCAAATTAACCCATAATTAGCTTGCAATTTACCCCAAGTCACGCAAATTAGCCCAAAAATCCCCCTGAAATCACCCAAATTGACCCCAAATCAGCCAAAATTAACCCTGAAATCCCCCCCAATTAACCCAAAATTAACCCAAAAAGCACAAAAATTAACCCCAAATACACCAAAGTTCACCCCAAAATCCCCCCAAATCCCCCCACAATCACACAAATTAACCTCAAATCACCAAAATTTACCTAAAAATCCCCCAAATTAACCAAAAATTAACCCCAAATCACAAAAATTAACCCAAAATAACCCCAAATCACCAAAATTAACCCAAAAAACCGCAGTCAACCAAAATACCCCAAAAATCTCTCCCAAATCACCCAAAATACCCGAAAATCACCAAAATTACCCAAAGTTCCCCATTTCCCCCAAAATTCCCCTTTTTCCCCTAAATTACAAAAAAAAGCCCAAAACCCCAAATCACTCCCAATTCCCCAATCCCAAACCTGAATTCCCAAAATCCCAAATCCCCCAAAATCCCCCAAACCCCCTAAACTCCCCAAAATCCCCCAACCCCCCAAAAACCCCCAAATCCACCAAATCCCCCCAAATGCCCAACCCCCAAAAACCCCAAATCCCAAAACACCCCCAAACTCCCCCCCAAGCCCCAAACATTCCAAAAACCCCAAAACCCCAAAGTCCCTCAAAACCCCCCAAAATCTCCCATTTTACCCCCTCAAAAACCCCAAATCCCAAAACCCCAAAAAACTTCAAAACTTCAAAAACCTCAAAATTCCCCAAATCCCCCAAAGTGCCCCAACTCCCAAATCCCCCAATCCCAAAAAAACCCCAAATCCCCCAATTTCAGCCCCAAATTCACCATTTTACCCCCAAAAATCCCAAAGTCCCCTAAACTCCAAAATGTCCCCAAATCCCCCCAAAACCCCAAATCCTCCAAGTCCCCTGAAATCCCCAAACCCCAAATCCCCCCAAATACCTTCAAATCCCCCAAAATTCTCCCCCCAAATCTCCCAAAAACTCAAATCCCAAATACCCCAAAAACCCAAACCCCTAAAACCCCAAATCCCCCAAAATCCCCAAAATTCCCCCAGATCCCTCTGAAAATCACAAACCCCAAAATCTCCAAAACCCCCAAATCTTAAATCCCTAAAAATCCCCAAAGCCCCAAAATCCCCCATACCCCCAAAATTCCCCCAAATCTTAAACCCTTAAAAACGGCAAAAAATGAATCCCAAAACCCCCATAATCCCCAAAACCGCCAAAACTCCCCAAAAACCCCCAAAACCCCAAAATGTCCCAAATCCCCCCAAAATCTCGAATTCCAAATCCCCAAAATCCCAAACCCCCAAATCCCCAAAATCCCAAACCCCCAAATCCCCTCAAATACTTCCCCAAAACCCCCAAATTCCCCATTTTATGCCACAAAAACCCCAAATCCCAAACATCCCAAAATCTCAAATCCCAAAATCCCCAAAAAACCCCCCAAAATCCCAAACCCCAAAATCCACAAACCCCAAATCCTAAATCCCCAAAACCTCAAACTCTCCCAAATCCCAAATCCCCCGAACTCTAAACCCCCAAAACCCCCAAATCCGAAACCCCAAAAAAAACCCAAACCCCAAAATCCCCAAAAATGCCCCCAAAACCCCAAAATCCCCAAATTTCCCATTTTATCCCCCCAAAACCCCAAATCCCCAAAACCCCCCCAAAAAAACCCAAAATCCCGAATCCAAAATCTCGAATCCTCAAAATCCCAAATCCCAAAACCCCAAAATCCCCCAAACCCCAAAAAACTCCAAGGCCCAAAACCGCCAAAAAAACTCCAAAACCTCAAACCACAAATCCCCCAAAATCCCCCAAATTCCCAAACCCCGAATCCCTCAAAATCCCAAATCCCCCCAATCCCCCCACTCTAAATCTCCAACCCCCAAAATCCCAAACACCCAAAATTGCCCCAAATCCCCAAAATTTCCCATACTATCCCCCAAAAACCCCAAAACCCCAAAAAAACCAAAAAAACCCCAAAACACCCCAAAAATCTCAAATCCCACTCCAAAATTCCCCATTTTACCCCCAAAAATCCCATAAACCCCAAAAAGTCCAAAAACCCCCAAAACTCCAAATCTCCAAATCCCAAATCGAAACCCCAAAAATCCCCAAAACCCCCAAAATTCTCAAATCCCAAACCCCCAAAATTTCCCCATTTTACCCCCCAAAACCCCATAAAAGCCCCAAAAAACCCCAAAACCCCAAAATTCCCGCACTCACCACTCGGCCCCTCCCCCTCCACAGCTGCTGCCGGAGCTGCTCCAGGGCCGAGTTTGGGCTCAAATCCGGGGATTTTCGGGCCAGATTTGGGCATTGAGGATCCAAATTTTGGGATTTTGGGGCCAGATCCAAATTTTGGGGTTTTAGAGCCGATTTTGGAGCTGATTTTGAGGCCAAATCTGAGGATTTTGGGTCCAAATTTTGGGATTTTGGGGCTGAATTTTGTGGATTTTGAGGTTTTGGGGCCGAATTTTGGGGTTTTTGGGGCTCCTGGGGTGGATTTTGGGGTGGATTTTGGGGATTTTGGAGTTCCTGCTGCAGCTGGGTCAGCGCCCGGCCCAGGGAGGCCCGGTGGGCCAAGAGCCCCTCCCGGAGCAGGAACAGCCTGGGGAGGAAATTGGGGTGAGAAATGGGGAAATTGGGAAAATGGGGAGAAATAGGGACTGGGGGGAGAGAATGGGGATTTTGGGGAAAATAGGGGGAAAAATGGGGGGAAAATGGGAATTTTGAGAGAAAAATAGGGGGAGAAATGGGGGGAAAATGGGAATAAAAACCGGGATTTTGGGGTCAAATTTGGTGATTTTGGAGCCAATTTTGGAGCCAATTTTGGGGATTTCAGAACAGGTTTTGGGGCTGAATTTGGGAATTTTGGGGCAGAATTTGGAGATTTAGAGCCAAATTTTGGAGTTTTGGGGCTGAACTTTGTGATTTTGGGACCCAATTTGGGGCCAATTTTGGAAATTTTGGGGCTGATTTGGGGCTGAATTTTGGGATTTTGGAGCTGAGTTTGGGGCCAAATGTTGGGGATTTTTGAGGCCAAATGTTGGGGATTTTGGGGCCAATTTTGGGGATTTTGGGGCTGAATTTGAGGATTTTGGGGCTGAGTTTGGGCATTTTAGAGCAAATTTTTGGGACTTTATGGACAATTATGGGGCTAAATTTGGGGATTTTGGGGCGAATTTGGAGCAGAATTTTGGTGGTTTCAGGCAAAATTTTGGGGTTTTTTTCTGGGGGTTTGGAGCCAAACTTGGAGATTTGGATTTGGGGGCTAAATTTGGAGCCATATTTTAGGGATTTTGGGGCCGATTGTGGGGATTTTAGAGCCAATTTTGGGGCTGGTTTTGGGGCTGGATTTTGGGGTGGAATATTGGGAGTTTCGTACCGATTCTGGGGCTGATTTTAGGGCAAATCTGGAGGATTTGGGGCCAAATTTTGGGGCCAAACTTGAGACCAAATCTGGGAATGTTGGGCTGATCTTAGGGCTGAATTGTGGGGATTTTGGGGTCAAATTTGGGGGTTTTAGGGCTGAATATTGGGATTTTAGACCCAAATTTTGGGGCTGATTTTAGGGCTAAACCCAGAGGATTTGTGGCCAAATTTTGGCGATTTTGGGACCGGATTTTGGGGCCAAATTTGGGCATTTGAGAGGCAATTTTGGGGTCAAATTCGGGGCCAAACTTGGGGATTTTGGGGCTGAATTCAGGGACTTTACAGCCGATTTTGGGGCCAAATTTTGGGGATTTCGGGTTGAATTTTGGGGCGATTTTGGGCGATTCTGGGGCCCAGGGAGCCCCAGAAGGCCGAGAGCCCCCCCCCAGAGCAGGAGCAGCCTTGGGGGGGAGTGCAGAGGAATTTGGGGTGAGAAACGGGGAAATTGAGAAAATGGAGAAAAAATGGGGAAAAATAGGGGGGGGGGAAAGGGGCATTTTGGGAGGGAAATAGAAAAATAGGAATAAAAATGGAATTTGGAGGGAAAAATGGGAATAGAAATGGGGATTTTGGGGGATAAAATTCAGGAAACAGGAGAAGAAAAATGGAGACTTTGAGGTGAAAAAGGGGGATTTTGGGGAAAAGGCAATAAAAATTGGGAATTTTGGGTACATTAGGAAAAATTTGGGATAATTTTGGGTATTTTAGGACCAATTTCAGGGAGTTTGGGGTGGATTTGGGAATTTTTTTGGTACATTTTGGGCTGGATTTCAGACATTTGGGGATAATTTGAAGTATTTTAGGATGGATTTAGGATATCTTAGGATATTTTAGGAATATTTCAGGGATTTCGGTCTCACCTGGTGACTCCATCATTGCCCATCCCCCGCTCCAGGTGTGTCCAGGGATTTTGGGGAGCATTTGGGATTTTTGGGGTATTTTGGGCCGGATTTCAGGGATTTTGGGATATTAGAGGGTAATTTAAAATATTTTAGGGTAATTGAGAATATTTTAGGAATAATTCAGGACATTTTGGTGTTACCTGATGACTTCATTGTTGCCCGTCCCCTGCTCCAGGTGCGTCCCCCAGCTGCCCCTCAGTTGGGACAGGTGGGACAGGAGGGGGGCAGCGCCCCCCACACCTCCCCCACGGCCCCCCAGCACTCCTGGGGACCCCAAAAGCACATCAGGGACCCCAGAATGGCCTGGGGACCCCAAAAATCCCAAAAATCCACCCCAAAAATCAGCTCAGAAACCCCCAAAAGCCCCAAGTCCACCCCAAAAACGACCCTGGGATCCTGAAAATGGACTCGGAAACCCCAGAACCCCAAAACCACCCCAAAAACCCCAAACTACCCCAAAACCAGATAAGGAACCCCAAAAATGGAGCCGGGGAGCCCAAAAATCCCAAAATCTGTCCCAAAACCCCTCAATACCTCAAAATCCACCCCAAAAATCCCAAATCCACCCCAAAAACACCTCAGGGACACAAAAAATGGATTCAGGGACCCCAAAAACCCCAAATTCACCCCAAAACCCCAAATCCTGACCCCAAAATTGCCAAAATCCCCCCAAAAATCCCAAATCCCAACCCTATATGTTCCCAAAATCCCTCAAGTCCCCAAAAAATTCCCCAAAATGCAAATTTCTGACCCAAGAAATCCCCAAATCCCCCCCAAAAACCCCCAAATTCAAAATCTTGACCACAAAAAACCCCAAATCGCCCATCTGAAATCATGACCCCCAAAAAGGCCCAAAACCTGAAATTTTGACCTCAAGAAGCCTCAAAATCCCCAATTTTGACCCCAATCTCGTTCCCCTCCCACTCACCTGCAGGAGGCTCTTCAGGGTGGGCGGGGCCTCGGCTGAGGGGGTGGGGCCAGCCAGGAGAGCTCTGTGATTGACAGGTGGGAGGCCACGCCCCCAACGGCATCAGAAATCCCCTCAGGGACCCCAAAATGTCCTAAAAACCCCCCAAATTCCCTACCACCCCATTAAGACCCACCCACCCACTTAGGCCACACCCATTCCTTTTGGCCACACCCACTCCTTTAAGCCCCACCCATTCGTTTGGCCACACCCACTCCATTAATCCCCACCCACCCCTTTAAGCCCCACCCATTGCTTTTGGCCACATCTACCCATTTAGGCCACACTGATCCCTTTAAGCCCCACCCACTCCTTTAAGCCCCACCCATTTTAGTCCTGCCCAATCCCTTTCAGCCCAACACACCCCTTTAGACCACACCCACCCCCTTAAGCCCTGCCTATCCCTTTAAGGCCCACCCGCTGTTTAAGCCCCACCCACCCCGTTTAAGGCCTTCCTGCCCCTTTAACCCCCACCCATCCCTTTAAGCCCCACCCACTTCTTTAAGCTCCACTCACCCACTTAGGCCCCACCCACCCTTTTAAGCTCCACCCATCCCTTTAAGCCCCACCCACCCATTTAGGCCACACCCACCCACTTAGGCCACACCCACCCACTTAGGCCACGCCCCTCTGTTTAAGCTCCACCCAACATTAGCTCACCCAATCCCTTCAAGACCCACCCACATTTTAAAGCCCCACTAACCCACTTAAGCTCCACCCACCACTTTCAGCTCCGCTCATCCCCTTAAGCTTCACACACCCCCTTTAAGCCCCTCCCTTCCTTTAGGCCCCACCCACCTATTAAAGCCCCACACACCATTTGATGACCCACCCAATCCTTTTATCCCCACCCACCACTAATCGCCACCCACCCTTTAAGCCCCACCCCTCTTTAAGCTCCACCCACCCCTTTAAGCCCCGCCCACCCTTTTAAGCCACACCCATACCCTTTATACCATACCGTCCCCTTAAACCCTGCCCACCCTTTTTAAGCCCCACCAACCCCTCTAAGTCCCATCTACATCCTAAAGGTCAACCCACCCCTTTAATCCCCACCTCCCTATTAAGCCCCACCCACTCATCAAGCCCTGCCCACCCTTTTCAGCCCCACCCACCCATTTAGGTCACACATCTCTAATCCCCACCCAACATTTAGCCCACCTAATCCCTTTAAGCCCCACCCACCCACTTAAGCTCCACCCACATCTTTAAGCTCTACATATGTCCTTAAGTTCTACCCTCACCTTTTATGGCCCACCCTTCCTTTATGCCCCACCCACCTTTTAAAGCCCCACCCACTCCTTTAAGCCCCACCTACCTCTAATTCCCACCCACCCTTTAAGCCCCACCCCTCTCTTTAAGCTCCACCCACCTTTTAAGTCTCACCCACCCATTGAAGCCACACCCCACTGTTTAGGCCCCACCCAACATTTAACCCACCCAATCCCTTCAAGCCCAAACCCACATCTTAAAACCTCGCCCACATCTTTAGGCCACACCCATGCAACTAAGCCCAACCCACCTTTTAAAGCTCCACCCACTTCTTTTAAAACCACCCACTGCATTAAGCCCCACCCATTTAAGCCCTACCCATTTTGGCCACACCCACCTCTTCAGCCCCACCCACTCATTTAAGCCCCACCAATTCCTTTAAGCACAGCCTGCTCCTTTAAGCTCCACCCATGTCTGCAAGCCCCACCCACCCATGTTAATGCCCCACCCATCCCTTTAAGCCACACCTACCCATTTAAGCCACACTCCTGGTTAAGCACAACCCAACATTTAATGCACCTAATCCCTTTAAGCCCCACCCACCTTTTAAAGCCCCCACCCACCTCTTTAGGACCCACCCATTCCTTTAAGCCCCACCCACCATTTAAGCTCCACCCACTTATGCCACACCCACTCCTTTTAAGCCCACTCCATCCATTTAAGCTCCACTCACTATTTAAGCCCCACCCAAATATTTAAGCCCCACCCACTCATTGAAGCCCCACCCACCAGTAAATCCAGCTAATCCCTTGGAGCCACACCCACCCTTTTAAGCCCCACCCACCCCTTTAAGCCCCACCCATCTTTTGAGCCCCCCCCATACATATTAAATGCCTGGCCACCCTCTTAGGCCACATCCACACTTTAAGCCCCACCCATCTCTTTAAGTCACACCCGCCCCTTTAAGACCCTCCCATTCTTTTGGCCACTCCCTCCCCTTTAAGCCCAACCCACTCCTTCAGGCCCCACCCACCTTGTGCTCTGATTGGCCAGGACCTCCAGCGCCCAAAGCACCGCCTCTGGGCTGTGGCCAATCAGTACAGCCTGTAGGGGGCGCCATGTGTCAGAGCACAGGGCGTGGCCTGAGCAGAGCCATGCCCCCTCCCCCAGCCTGCCACGCCCACCTCAGCCTGTTCCGACCAATCTGGAGCCTCCTCAGCCTTCCCGGGGTGATTGGCAGCTCTGGGGTTCATTAATTAATTGATTAATTGAGGGGTTAACTGGGGGTTAAGGAGGAAGGGGTGTGGCTTACCTGTGTGGGTGTGGCCTCTGGAGCTCCGCCTCCCTGGCCTTGCACAGGGCCTTGATTGACACCTGCGAAAGTGGGAGGGTTTGGGGGAACTTGGGGATTTTTGGTGGGTCCTGGGCTGATTTTGGGGGAATTTTGGGGGTCCTGCGCTGATTTCGGGGTCCCTGAATGGTCTCCAGGCCCCGCCCACCATGTCAGGCCCCGCCCACTCACCAGCACTTCCGGCTCTGCCCCTGCGGCCAAGATGGCCGACAGCTCCTCCCGGGATTGGCCCGGCCTGAGGGGACCCAAAAGTCTTTTAAAATACCCAAAATCTCCTCAAAATGCCCCAAAATCCCCCAAATTTACCCATAATCCACTCAGGAACTCCAAAAATCCCATCAAGAACCCCAAAGTCTCCTCAAAATCAACCAAAACCCCCTCAAAGTTTCTTCAAAATCCCCCCAGATCCCCTTAGGAACACAAAGTTCCCCAAAAACCCTCAGGGACCCTAAAATCTCCCCAGATTCTTAAAAAATCCCCTCAGAAACCCCAAAATCCACTCAGGAACCCCAAAAATCCCCCAGAAAGCAAAAATTGCCTCACAATCCCCCAAAATCACCTCAGAGACCCAAAAATCTGATCAAAATTTCCTCATAATCCTCCAAAATTTGAAAATTCCCACCAGGGACCCCAAAATCCCCTCAGGAACCACAAAATTCTTCAAAAATCCCCTCACGGACCCCAAAACCTCATCAAAACCCTTCAAAATTTCCCAAAATCCCAGTAGGAACACAAAATCCCCTCAAAACCCTTCAAATTGTCTCAAAATTGCCTCAGGAACCCAAAATCCTCAAAAAACGCTTCAGGGACCCCAAATTCTCCTCAAAATGCCCCAAAATCTCCTCACAATCCCCAAGAGACACAAAAAAATCTCTTCAAAACCCTTCAAAATCCTCCCAAGTCCCAGAGAATCCTCCAAAATCCCCTCAAAAGTCACCCAAAATCCCCTGAAGGGCCCCAAAATTCAGTCAAGGACCAAAAAATCTAAAAATCCCCCAAATTCCCCCATTGCCCATATAAGGAAATTCCCCCACTGCCCATATAAGGAAACACTGCAAGGCCCCGCCCCTTCCACCCTGCCCCTTCAGGCCCCGCCCCTTTTACCTTTTATGGATTGCCCTCAGCGCCCCCTCGTGGCCGTCCCGCAGCCCAGCTGGGCCCGGCTCCGCCCCTCGCTGAAGCTCTGCCCCCAGCAGCCGAAGCTCCGCCCCTCGCTGAAGCTCCGCCCACCGCCGGCTCTGCGCCTCGTCCAGCGAGGCGTCTGGGGGGGAAAGGGGGACCCAAAGGTTTGGGGTGAGAACCCCCAAATTTGAGGGTTGGGGGGTCTGGGACCCCTAAATTGAGGGAGGGGACCCCGAAATTGGGGTGAGGATCCCAAATTTGGGGTTTAGGGGGATCCTGGGACCCAAAATATTGGGGAAGGGACCCCAAAATTGGGTTTGGGGGGTTCAGGGATCCCAAATTTGGGATTTGGGGGGGGGTCACGGGACCCCAAAGTTGGGGGAGGAACTCAAAATTTGGGGGGTGAAAATCTCAAAATTGGGGTTTAGAGGGCTCAGGGATCCTAAAAATGGGGATGGGGACCGCAAAATTGAGGTTTGGGGGTTCAGGGACCCCAAATTTGGGGTTTAGGGGAGGTCTGGGACCCTAAAAATGGGGAAGGGATCCCAAAATTTAGGGGTAGGGACCCCAAATTGGATTGGAGTCCGGGGGGGGGTCTGAGACCCTAAAATTGGGGGAAAGGGACCCCAAAATTGGGATTTAGGGGGATCAGGGACCCCAAAATTGAGGAAGGGGACCCCAAAATTGGGGTCTAGGAGGACATGGAACCCCAAAATTCGGGTTTGAGTTCATCAGGGATCCCAGAATTGGGGTTTGGCCTCGATCAGAGACCCTAAAAATGGGGAAGGGACCCCAAAATTTGTGTTTTGGGGGTTCAGGGACCCCAAATTTGGGGTTTTGGTGGTCCTGGGAGCTCAAAAAGGGGAACGGGACCCCAGATTTAGGGCTTGGAGAAAAATTGGGGTTTGGGGGTTTCTGAGACTCCAAAATTGGGCATGGGTCCTCGAAAACTGGGGTTTGGGGGGGGTCAGGAACCCCAAAATCGGGATTATGGGAGTTCTGGGACACTACAAATCAGGGGGACCCCAAAATTTGGGGGTAGAGACCCCAAAATACAGTAAGGAGCCAAAAATTGGGGTTGGCGGGGGGAGGGGGTCCAGGGACTCCAAAACTGGGAAAGGGGACCCCAAAATTTAGGGTGAAGATGCCAAACTGGGGCTTTAGTGGCTCAGGGACCCCAAAATTGGGGTCCAGGAGGACATGGGACCACAAAGTTGGGGTTTTGGGGGTGCTGGGACCCTAAAATTGGGGAAAGGGACCCCAAATTTGGGGCTGGGGTGTTCAAGGACCCCAAAATTTGGGGTTCAGAGGTTCTGGGACAATAAAAATTGGGGGAATCCCAAAATTTAGGGGTGGGGACCCCAAATTGGTGTCTGGGGTGTTCAGGGAACCCAAAATTGGGGTTTGGAGCATCAGGGACCCCAACTTGGGGTTAGGGGAGGGTCAGGGACCGCAAAATTGGGGTTTTGAGTGGGCAAGGAATCCCAAATTTCTGGTGAGGACCCCAAAACTGGGACTTAGGGGCATCATGAGACCCCAGAAATGGTGCGGGACCCCAAAATTAGGGGGTGGGGAGCCCCCAAAATGGAGGTTTGGAGGGTAGGAACCTTTGTGCGGGGGCCGCGTTTCCGGCCGGACTCACCGAGGCGCTGCGCCGTCTCCTGTGCATCCGCAATGGCGTCCCCCAGGTCCCGCACCTCCTTCCGGAGCCGCTCCACAGCCGCGCGCAGCGCCCCCTGCTGGCCCGGCCGAGCCGGAGCGGCCTGCGCCAAAACGGGCCCAAAAGCGCCACAGTTCAGCCAAAATTCAGCCAAAATTCACCCAAATGTACCTGGGAGTGTGCCCAGGGTTCTCACGATACCCAAAAACTCTCAAATATTGAGAAAATCCCACAAAAAACCCAAAATTCCACAAAAATGAGGATTAAAATTGGCCCAAATCTGACCAAATTCACCTCAAAATTCACCCCAATATCCCTGAGATTGTGCCCAGCGTCCTCACGATACCCAAAACTGCCCCAAAAAAAGAGAAAACCCCCAAAAATGAGGCTCAAAATTGACCCAAATCCACCCAAATTCACCCCAATATCCCTGAGATTGTGCCCTGGGTTCTCACAACACTCAAAGCTCACAAAAAAACCGAGAAAAATCCCACAAAAAATACCCCAAAATCCCGCAAAAATGAGGCACAAAATTGACCCCCAAAATTCCCCGAAAAAAAAAATCACCAAAACTCTCCAAAAATTCCCCCCAAAACTCCCCCCAAAAATCCCCACAAATTTTATAAAAACAAGGCTCAAAAAAATCCCAAAATTCCCCCAAAAATTCCCCCCAAACCCCCAAGATTTTATAAAAATGAAGCTCAAAATGGACCCAAATCCACCCGAATTCAGCCCAAAATGCACCCAAAATTCACCCCAATATCCCTGAGATTGAGCCCAGGGTTCTCATGATACCCAAAACTCCCAAAGTTTGGGGAAATCCCACCAAAAAACCCAAAATGAGGCTCAAAATCGACCCCCAAATCCGTCCAAATTCACTCAAAATTCCCCTCAAAAATAATCCCAAAAATTCCCACCCAAAAATCCCCAAAATTCCCCAAATTCCCCCCCAAAAACTCCCTGAAAAAATCTCCCAAAAATTGCCCCCCAAAAATTGCCCCCCAAAAATCCCCAAAATTTAATAAAAATGAGGCTCAAAATGGACCCAAATCTGCCCAAAATTCACCCCAAAATCCCCGAGATTGTGCCCCGAGTCCTCATGATACCCAAAACTTCCAAACTAACGGGAAAACCCCACAAAAGAACCCCCAAATTCCACACAAATGAGGATTAAAATGGCTCCAAATCCTCCAAAAAATCCCCAAAATTGCCCCCCCAAAAATCCTTCAAATTCCCCCCAAAATTTCCACGAAAATCCCCCCCAAAAAATCCACAAAATTCCCCCAAAAACTCCCAAAAACCCCAAAATGCCACAAAAATGAGGCTCAAAATTGACCCTAAATCCTCCCAAATTCACCCCAAAATCCCCTCAAGTAGCCCTGAGATTGTCAAAGAATCCCAAAATCTTTTTCAAAATTCCCAAAAACCTGAAAACTCCCAAATACCCAAAAATCCCCAAAAATTCAAAAAAAATTCCCCAAAAAATTCCCGAAAACATCCACAAAATTCCCCTAAAAATCCCAAAAAAACCCCCAAAATTCTTCCCAAAAATCACCCAAAATTCTCCCCAAAAATTCCCAATACCCCTCAAAATCCCACAAAAATGAGGCTCAAAATGGACCCCAAATCCGCCTGAATTCCCCCCAAAATTCACCCAGATATCCCTGAGATTGTCAAAAAATCCCAAAAACTCCCCAAAGTCATTTCCAAAATTCCCCAAAACCCCTGAAAAATCCCAAAAGTCCCACAAAAAAATCCTCAAAATTCCCCAAAAAATCCCCCGAAAAATCACTTTTAAATGCCCCAAACCCCCCAAATCCCTCCCAAAATTCCCACCAAACCCAAAAACATTCTCCAAAAATTTTGCATTTCGCCCACAAAAAAAATCTCATTTCAAGCTCCAGAACTCCCCTGGACCCCCCAAAATTCCCTCAAATCCCCTCCAAAAATCAAAAAAGATCCCCCAAAATCCAAAAAAATCCCTTAAAATTCCTGAAAATTCCCCAAAAATCCCAAAATTTCCCCAAAATGTCCCCAAATCTGAGGGAACCTCCCCAAATTTTGGGTTCCCCACCCCAAATCTGACCCCAATTCCCCCTCAGGTTTTGGGTCACCCTCACCTCCAGCTCCTGCAGGTGCCCGTACCTGAGCCCCGAGTTAAGGAACAATTTGGGGATCCCCCAAAAATCTCCCCTTCAATTTAAGGTTGAACCCCCAAATTTGGGAACCCCCACCCCAGATTTTGGGGTTTCCAGAATTTTCTATCCGAGGAACCCCCAAATTTTTGAGGATCCCCCAAAATTTCGGATACAAGCGCAGATTTCCTCGGATCTTCTTCACGTTCCTGTGGGGACACCCCAAAAATTCTGTGAGGGGAGAACCGGGAAAAAGAGCGGGAAAAGCGGCGCGGGGCATGATGGAAGCTGTAGTTCAGGGGGGTGGGGCCTGCAATGATGCTCTATGGGCGGCGCGGGGCGTGATGGGACCTGTTTGCCGGCTATAATGAAAATCAATGGGGCGTGGGGCATGATGGGAGTTGTAGGTTTGGCTATAATTGAACTCACTGGGGCGCGGGGGATGATGGGAGCTGTAGGCTTGGCTATAATGGAACTCAGTGGGGCGCGGGGGATGATGGGAGCTGTAGGCTTGGCTATAATGGAACTCAGTGGGGCGCGGGGGATGATGGGAGCTGTAGGCCCGGAAAGCATCTCCCCCTCCTTCCCCTTAAATTTTGGGGCCCCCTTTCAATTTTTGGGGCTTTTCACTCTCCCCAATGTTGGGGTCCCCCCTCACCGCTGGTTCCGGACGTGGCGGATGACGTAATCCCAAATGGGGGCTGCGGGGCCGGAGCAGAGCCTGCAGGGGAGGGAATTGGGGCACCCCAACATTTGGGGGTGACCATAAAATTCACCCAGGAACCCGAAAATCACCCCCAGGAACCCCCAAATCCACTCAGGATGCCCTAAAAGGGACCCCAAAAGGACCCCTCAGGACCCCCCAAAGGGACCCCAAAATCCCCACAGGACCCCCCGAAACCTCCCAAGGGACCCTTCAAGGGGACCCCAAATTCTCCAGGACCTCCTAAAGGACCCCAAAAGCATCCCCAGGACCCTCCAAAGGGACCCCAAAACCCCCCAGAACTCTCCAAAAGATCCCAAAATCTCCTCAGGACCTCCCCAAACCTCCCCATTACCCTCCAAGGGGACACCAAAATACCCCCAGGACCCCCCAAAACTTCTCAGGACCCTCCAAAGAGACCGCAAAACCACCTCAGGACCCCCAAACCCACCCAGGGCCCTCTAAAGGGACCCCAAAATCCCCTCAGGACTCTCAGGAGGACCCCAAAATCCCCCAAGGACCCCTCAAAAGGACCCCAAAACTCACACAGGACCACCCAAAAGGACCCCAAAATCCCCCCAGCACCCCTAAACCCCCTCAGGACCCTCCAAGAGGACGCAAAATTCACTCAGGACCCCTAAAACCCCCTCAGGACCCTCCAAGGGGACCCCAAAACGCCCCAGAATGTTTCATAGGGACCCCAAAATCCCTTCAGGACCCCCAAAATTCCTCCAGGACCCTCCAAGGGGACTCCCAAACCCTTCCACGACCTTCTAAAGGAACTCCAAAACCTCCCCAGTACTCTCCAAAGGGACCCCGAAACCTCCCAGTACTCTCCAGAGGGAGCCCAAAACCTCCCAGTACTCTCCAGAGGGAGCCCCAAATCCCCCCAGGACCCCCCAAAACCTCTCAGGACCCTCCAAGGGGACCCCAAACCTCCTCAGCCCCCCCCCACATTCCCGCTCTCCCCTCACGGAGCCCTCGGGGGGTTCCCACCCCCGGCAGCCCGAAACCCCCCGGCCCCTCCCCGCCTCAGGGGGGTCCCCATGGGGGTCCCCGGCTGGTCCCGACCTGCGGAGCGCGGCCGGGGAGGGGATGGCGGAGGGCGGCAGCTCCATCTCCTCCCGGAGCCACCGCTCCAGCGCCTCCGCCATCATGGCCGGGGGGCGCTGAGGAGAGCGAAAAACCGCGGGAAAAGCGCCGCGGGGCAGCAGGGGAGTTGTAGTGCGGGAGGGGCGGGGCATGCAATGATGGGCTATGCGAGGCGCGAGGCATGACGGGAGTTGTAGGCGAGTAACTGGGGCGCTGTGGTGCGCGAGGCATGATGGGAGTTGTAGGCGTGGCTTTAATGATTCTCTATGGGGCGCGGGGCCTGATGGGAGTTGTATGCACACCTGTAATGGGGCTCTATGGGTTATAATGATTCTCTATGGGACTCTATGGGTTATAATGATTCTCTATGGGGCGCGGGGGCTGAGGGGAGTTGTATGCGTGTTTGTAATGGAACTCAATAGGCGTCGCGGGGCATGATGGGAGCTGTAAGCCAGGAAGTTTGTCGATGGGGAAACTTGGGGGTCTGGGGGCACTTGGGGGTCCTAAGGGCCACTTATGGGTCAGAGGAGCCATTTAAGGGACACTTAAAAGGCACCCGAGGGGAACTTTGGGTCTGAGGGCACTCAGGGCCACCTGGTGAGCTGGATCCTGGCTTTACCTGGCCTCTGTGGGGTGCGGGGGATGATGGGAGTTGTAGGCTCTGGGCAGCATGGGAATTGTAGGCGTAGACTGAGGGTCTGTGGGGAGGGGGGAGGTTTAGGTGGGGCACCTGGGAGTCCGTGAGGGCACTCGGAGGTCCTGAGTGGGGGCTGAGAGATCACTTAGGAATCCTGGGAGGCACTTGGGGGTCCGGGGGAGCAACTGAGGAGCAACTTTGGGTTTGGGGGGAAATTTGGGGGCGTGTACCGGGCACTCTGTGTGGCTGCGTGGCATGACGGGAGGTGTAGGCCGGGCTTCCTTTAGACTCTATGGGGCCGCGGAGCATGAAGGGAATTGTAAGCCAGCCATCAATACTTACGTGTAGTGCCGCAGGGCATGACGGGAGTCGTTGGCCCCGTTTCAATGGCGCTCTAAGAGGCCGCGAGGCATGCTGGGACCTGGAGTCCAGCGTTTAATAGCTCAGTTTTCTGCCGCAAGGCATGACGGGAATTGTAGTCGAAAAAAGCCAAAATGGCGTAGCCTTTAGATACCGCCTTCAAGGCCGCTGATTGGTTGCAAGCTATGATTGACAGGCAGGTCGACCAGTGGGAGGTGGCGCCGACGGAAGGCGGGGAGCGGCAGCTCCTGAGGGCGGCGGTGAGAGGGGGGCGCGGATTTTGGGGGGATTTGAGGCGATTTTGGGGCATTTTGGGGGATTTTTGGGATCCCTCACGAGCCTCTCACCCCTGCCAGGCCCCAGGGACGCGTCCGGAGCCGTGATGGCCGCCAAGGTGAAGGTGGAGAAACCAGGTGAGCTCGGCCGGGAGCCCCAAAAACCCCAAAAACCGCCCAAAAAACCCCAAAATTCCACAAAAATCCCACTCGGGACCCCCCAAAACCCCTCAAATTCCCTCAGAAAGCGCCGAAATGCCAAAAGATTTCCCGAATATATCCCAAAACAACACAAATCCTCCCCAAAATTTCCAAAATATTCCCAGAATTCCCCAAATTCCTCCCAGATTCGTCCAGAACCCCCAAATGCCCCACAATTCTCAAAATTTTCTCCCAAATTTCTTAAAAATTCCTCACAGGACCCTGAAAATTCACCAAATTCCCAGAGCTGGACCCAAAAATGCCCAAAAATTCCCCAAAATTCCGAATTTTTTCCAGTGCTGAACACCAAAATTCCTTAAAATTCCCCCAAAATCCCAATTAAAACCCAAAATACCCTCAAAATTCTCATTTGAATCCCCCAAAACCCCAACGAAACCCCAAAAATTCCATTTAAACCCCAAAAATCCTTTTAAGACCCCAAAATTGCCCCAAAAATTCCCCATATCCCCTCAAAATTCCCATTTCAATCCCTCAACCTTCATTTTAAACCCTAAAATTTCTTCTTTAAACCCCCAAATCCCCTCCAGGATCCCCCAAATTTAAAAGAATCCCTCAAAAATCCCAAATTTCCATGAACTTGTCCCCCAAATTCCCCTCATATTCCAAAAAATCCCCAAAATTCTCCCAAAAATTCTCTAAAAATTGCCCAAATGCCCTCCAGAATCCCCCAAGTTTAAAAATAATTCTCAAAAATCCTCAAAATTTCTGAATTTCCCAGAACTGGACCCCCAAATTCTTCCCAAATTCCCAAAAGTTCTCCCCAAAATTCTCAGTTATTCCCCAGATTTCCCCAAAACTGCCCCAAATCCATTCCAGGACCCCCAAATTGCCAAAAATTCCCCCAAAATTCCAAAAGTCTCCAGTATTCCCAGAGCTGGACACCCCAAAGCCCCAAGACTCCACAAAATCCCCCAAAACTCCCCCCAAACGCCTTCCAATATTCCTAAAACTTCCCCAAAAAATCCCAAATTTCCACCAATTTCCCTAAGATTCCCCCAAAAATGCCCAATTTCCCATTTCAGTCCCTCAAAATTCCCATTTTAACCCCAAAATTCCCCCAAATCCCCTCCAGGACCCCCAAGTATCCCCCCAAATTCCCTAAAATCTCTTCCACCATTCCCAAAACATCAAACAAAATCCCCAAAATTTTCCCATTTCAACCCCAAAAAATCTCCCAGAAACCCCAAAATTCCCAAAAAGTCCCAAAAATTCCCCCAAGTTCCCATTTCAACCCCCATAAATCCCCAAAATTCCCAGAGCTGGAGCCCAAATTCCCAAAAATTCCCCCAAAACTCCCCCAAATTCCTTTCCTCATTCCCAAAAATCCTGCAAAATTCCCAAAAATCACCCGAACTCCCCCCAAATTTCTTCAAAAAATCCCCCAAATCCCTTCCAACATTCCCAAAACATCCCCAAAATTCCCATTTCAATCCCAAAATCCCCCTAAAAATTCCCAGAATCCTCCCAAATTCCCTCAAAATTTTTCAAATCTCCCCAAATTCCCCCAATGTACCCAAAAAATCCCCCAAATTCCCCCAAAAATTTCCATTTCAACCCCCAAAAATTCCCATTTCAACTCCCAACCCCTCCATTCCCCCAAAATTCCCAAAAATTCCCCTCAAAACCCCCAAACCCCCTCAGCATTTCCCCAAATCCCCCCCAAGTCCCACAAAATTCCCAAAAATTCCCATTGCAACCCCAAAAATGCCCCAAAAGTTCCTAAAATTTCCCAGAATTTTCCCAAAACTCTTCAAACTTTCCACAAATCTCCCTGAAATGCCTTCCAATATTTAAAAGAATCCCCAAAATTCCCCAAGAAATCCCAAAATTTCCTCAAAAATCCCCTTGTTCCCTGAGCTGGGGCCGTTTGGAGGCCCCAAAATCCCCCAAACTGCACCAAAATTCCTTCCAAAATGTCAAGAAAACCCCACAAAACTTCCCCAAAGTCCTTTAAGAATTGCAATTTAAACCCCAAAAGTTCCCATTTCAACACCATAAAACCCCCTTAAAATCCCAAAACCTCCCCTAAAACTTCCCCAAATCCAAAAAATCCCCGAATTTCCGCAAATTTCCTAAAAAAACTTTAAATTTCCCAGAGCTCTGCCCTGGAGCTGCTCAGCACCACCTGGAGCCCCCAAATCTCCTCAAAATTCCTCAAAATTCCCAGAAAATCCCAAAATCCCTAAAAAATGTCTTCCAAAATCCAAAAGAAATCCCAAAACATCCCAAATTTTCCCCCCAAATATCCCTATTCATGCCACAAAATTTTCAAAAACTCCCCCAAATTTCCCCCAAAAATCCCATTTCAAACCCCAAAACTCCCCCTAAAAATCACCCAAACCCCGAAAGTGCCCCAAAACTGTCCAAAATCTCAAACAAAATTCCCAAAAATCCCCAAAAATGCCAGAAATTCCCCAAATTTTCCCTAGTTTCCCCAATTTCCTAGAGCTGTCCACCGGTGCTGCCCGGCGCCGCCTGGAGCCCCCAAATGTCCTAAAAATTCCCCCAATTTTCCCAAAATCCCCCAAATGCCCCCAAAATCCCCCCAAAATTTCTTCCAAAAATCCCCCAATTCCTTCCAACATTCCCCAAAATTCCCATTTCAAACCCCAAAATCCCCAAAAATTCTGTGGAGAGTCAGGGCTGTGTGTGTGCGGCAGGAATGGGGCTGTACGGTCAGTCAGGGCTGTGTACAGCAGGAATGGGGCTGTACGGTCAGTCAGGGCTGTGTGTGCGGCAGGAATGGAGCTGTACGGTCAGTCAGGGCTGTGTACAGCAGGAATGGGGCTGTATGGTCAGTCAGGGCTGTGTACAGCAGGAATGGGGCTGTACGGTCAGTCAGGGCTGTGTGTGCGGCAGGAATGGGGCTGTACGGTCAGTCAGGGCTGTGTGTGCGTCAGGAATGGGGCTGTACGGTCAGTCAGGGATCTGCGTGTGCAGGAGGAATGGGGCTGTACGGTCAGTCAGGGCTGTGTGTGTGCAGCAGGAATGGGGCTGTACGGTCAGTCAGGGCTGTGTACAGCAGGAATGGGGCTGTACGGTCAGTCAGGGCTGTGTGTGCGGCAGGAATGGGGCTGTACGGTCAGTCAGGGCTGTGTGTGTGTTACAGGAATGGGGCTGTACGGTCAGTCAGGGCTGTGTGTGTGCAGCAGGAATGGGGCTGTACAGTCAGTCAGGGCTGTGTGTGCGGTAGGAATGGGGCTGTACGGTCAGTCAGGGCTGTGTGTGCGGCAGGAATGGGGCTGTACGGTCAGTCAGGGCTGTGTACAGCAGGAATGGGGCTGTACGGTCAGTCAGGGCTGTGTGTGCGGCAGGAATGGGGCTGTACGGTCAGTCAGGGCTGTGTACAGCAGGAATGGGGCTGTACGGTCAGTCAGGGATCTGTGTGTACAGCAGGAATGGGGCTGTACGGTCAGTCAGGGATCTGTGTGCGGCAGGAATGGGGCTGTACGGTCAGTCAGGGCTGTGTACAGCAGGAATGGGGCTGTACGGTCAGTCAGGGATCTGTGTGTACAGCAGGAATGGGGCTGTACGGTCAGTCAGGGATCTGTGTGGCAGGAATGGGGCTGTACGGTCAGTCAGGGCTGTGTACAGCAGGAATGGGGCTGTACGGTCAGTCAGGACACCCCCCCTCTGCAGTCAGACCTTTGCTCCGTGCCTGGCTGCACCCAGCCGGACGTGAGCAGAAGGAAATGACACTGACTGCCCAAGCCATAAAAACCCCGGTGACCCCTCAATAAACACCATTTGCTGTCCACCACGTTGGTGTCAGGAGCATATGGACCGAGTGACCCTGGGCTTTGGGCCACCGTGCCGGAGTGAGAACCAGGTCGCCAAGCCTTGAGAAGGCAGCAGTCATGCATGATACACCATGAGAAAAAAAGGCATATATTATTAGAACAGCATCTGAGTTTTTCAGAGGAGGAGAGATTCATTGACGTCCCAGCAGTCAAACCTGTTCAAATACTTTCCTCAGGGCTTCCTTGAGATGAGAGGTGACCAGCAGAGGCCAAGGCCAGCCAGAGCTCTTTGTCCTGGCAGCTTTTGCCTGGGAGAACCCTTGCAGATAGGGAATTTTTCAGGGGGAGTATCAGTTTTGGCTGTGGGCACCTGGAAAGAGGGATGGTTCTTTTCCATAGGAAGGAAAGCACCAAGCCCCAGTTCTCCAGGGGCTGATGAGAAGCAGCCCTCAGTATTCCAAGATCAGCTGGACCTGTCAGGTGGCCCCTGAGAGGCCAAGCCAGCCAGATCTGTTCCATGTTCCCTGGGTTCCATGAAGCCCTGCAGTGTCACAATGTTCTCCTTGCTTCTGCAGTGTCAAAATGGCCCCGTGCTTCCATGAGGCCCTGCAGGGTCACAGTGGCCCTTTGGTTCCCTGGGGCCTCACAGTGTCACAATGGTCTCCATGATTCCCTGGGGCCTTGCTATGCCACAATGGTCTCCATGGATCCACGGTGCCCTGCAGGATCACAACGGCCCTTTGGCTCCATGGAACCCCACAGTGTCACAATGGTCTCCATAGGAAGGAAACCACGGA